TACCAGATGGTCAACACCAAAATCAGATTGATTATATTCTTTGCAGCCAAAGATGGAGAAGTTCTATGCGGTCAGCAAAAACAAGACCAGGAGCTTAATGTGGCACAGATCATGAACTCCTTACTGCCAAATTCAGACTTAAATTGAAGAAAGTGGGGAAACCCACTAGACCATTCAGGTATGACCTATATCAAATCCCTTATGACTATACAGTGGAAGTAACAAATAGATTCAAGGGATTAGATCTGATAGACAGAATGACTGAAGAACTATGGACAGAGGTTCGCGTGACATTGTACATGAGGCAGGGATCAAGACCATCCGCAAGGAAAAGAACTGCAAAAAGGCAAAATGATTGTCTGAGGAGGGCTTACAAATAGCTGTGAATAGAAGTGAAAGGCAAAGGAGAAAAGGAAAGATAAACCCATTTGAATGCAGATTTCCAAATAGCAAAGAGAGATAAGAAAGACTTCCTCAGCAATCAGTGCAAAGAAATATAGGAAAACAATAGAATGGGAAAGTCTAGAGATCTCTTCAAGAAAATTAGAGATACCAAGAGAACATTTCATGTAAAGATGGGCACAATAAAGAAGAGAAATTGTATGGACCTACAGAAGCAGAAGATATTAAGAGCTGGCAAGAATACACAGAAGAACTATACAAAAAAGATCTTCATGACCCAGATAATCATGATGGTGTAATACCAGCCTAGAGCCAGACATCCTGGAATGCGAAGCAAGTGGGCCTTAGGAAGCATCACTATAAACAAAACTAGTGGAGGTGATCGAATTCCAGTTGAGCTATTTCAAATCCTAAAAGATGATGCTGTGAAAGTACTGCACTCAATATGCCAGCAAATTTGGAAAACTCAGCAGTGGCCACAGGACTGGAAAAGGTCGGTTTTCATTCCAATCCCAAAGAAAGGCATTACCAAAGAATGTTCAAACTACAACACAATTGCACTCATCTCACATGCTAGTAAAGTCATGCTCCAAATTCTCCAAGCCAGGCTTCAACAATATGTGAACTGTGAACTTCCAGATGTTCAAGCTGGATTTAGAAGAGGCAAAGGAACCAGGGACCAAATTACCAACATCCTTGGATTTTGAAAATGTGAGAAAGTTCTAGAAAAACATTGCTTTATTGACTATACCAAAGCCTTTGACTGTGTGGATCACAACAAATTCTGGCAAATTCTTCAAGAGATAGGAATACCAGACCACCTGACCTGCCTCCTGAGAAATCCGTGTGCAGGTCAGGAAGCAACAGTTAGAACTGGACATGGATCAACAGACTGGTTCCAAAGAGAGAAAGGTGTACATCAAGGCTGTATATTGTCACTGTGCTTATTTAACTTATATGGAGAGTAAATTATAAGAAATGCTGGGCTGGATGAAGCACAACTGGAATCAATTTTGCTGGGAGAAATATCAATAACCTTAGATATGCAGATGACACCACCCTTATGGCAGAAAGCAAAGAACTATAAGAGGCTCTTGATGAAAGTGAAAGAGGAGTGAAAAAGTTGGCTTAAAACTCAACATTTAGAAAACTAAGATCGTGGCATCTGGTCCCATCACATCATGGCAAATAGATGGGGAAATAGTGGAAACAGTGACAGATAATTTGACTCCAAAATCACTGCAGATGGTGAGAGCAGCCAATAAATTAAAAGACGTTTGCTCCTTGGAAGAAAAGTTATGAACAACCTAGACAGCATATTAAAAAGCAGAGACATTACTTTGCCAAGAAAGGTCCATCTAGTCAAAGCTATGGTTTTTCCAGTAGTCATATATGGATGTGAGAGTTGGACTATAAAGAAAGCTGAGTGCCGAAGAATTGATGCTTTTGAACTGTGGTGTTGGAGAAGACTCTTGAGAGTCTCTTGGACTGCAAGGAGATCCAACCAGTCCATCCTAAAGGAAATCAGTCCTGAACATTCATTGGAAGGACTGATACTGAATCTGAAACTCCAATACTTGGCCATCTGATGTGAAGAGCTGACTCATTTGAAAAGACCCTGATGCTGCGAAAGCATCAGGCGGGAGAAGGGGACGATAGAGGATGAGATGGTTGGATGGCATCGACTCAATCGACATGTGTTTGAGTAAACTCCGGGAGTTGGCGATGGACAGGGAGGCCTGGTGATCATGGGGTCGCAAAGAGTCGGACATGACTGAGGAACTGAACTGAACTGAGGAAGAGGAATAGAAGAAGAGTACATTTTAATTATGAGAGGGAAGATGATCATGCCAGGAAAGAGAGTGAGATCACACTACGAGAAACAGTTTACAGAGGAATAGGACAAGTTTCATTTCAGACAGCGATTATCTGTTTTATACTGGCTTCCCAGGTGGTTCAGTCCTAAAGAATCTGCCTGCAGTGCAGGATAGGAGGGTTCAGTCTCTGGGTTGGAACGATCCCCTAGGGCAGGAAATGGAAATCCATTCCAGTATTCTTGCCTGGACAGAAGAGCCTGGCAAGGCTACAGTGCACGGGGTCACAGAGTAGGACCCAACCTAGAGACTAAAGAACAACAAATCTATACGTCTTCAAAACTGCCATTCTGACTGAATGAGTTTTCATTAACTGGTGTTGTAGGCTGTTTTGTAATGAAGGTGTTTTGGTTCTGAACAATACACCAGATTTCTAGATTTATCATTTTAGATCTAACTGCCTTTTAGGTATCTTAGTGCCATTTAGGTCTTGAAAAGAATGAAGAAAATTGTTTTTTTTTTTTTTTTTATAAAGAGATAACGTGAGAGGGTTAAGACGACATTCCATTCCCTGACCCAGCCTTTCCTATTTCCTTGCTAAGCATACATACCTGAGACAGACGTATACCAGGGAATTTATTGCCTGACCGCCCATGCTGTCATACTGTGTGGAAAGTACTGTGGAGAGTACTAATGCAGAGTAGTGAATTTGGCCTAGGGCTAAGATGCCCTTTAGGTGCACCTGGAAGTCTGTCTGTGGAGTGTGTGTTTTAGGCAAAAAGGGCAGAGAGAGCAAAGGCAGGTGTGACAATGCATACTGTGTAATTCAGGTAGCTGTGTAGATGCACCATTTCTACAAACACCCACAAAATTCTAAGACCCTTAAAGGTCTTATTAACCCTCTCACATTGTCTCTTTATAAACAAAACAGTTTTCTTCATTCTCGTCTAAGACCTAAATGGCTAGATCTAAAATGGTTAATTCTAAGACCCTTAAAAGTATTAGGTGTAGCGCTCCAGCAGGCTTCCTGCAAAAATTATGTTGCTCCACTCTTATTTTTGTCTCGATTTCAAAAATTTCTTTTGCTCATGAAGGAATTAACTAATTTAGATTAGTGAGTAAAGTGGGAGCCAATGCCAATTCAGACCAGAATTTGTCAGTTACTTCATGTACATGTTCATAATACACATAGTGATAATGGTACATCTTAAAATTTATATTGTTAATTTTTAGACCAAAGTATTAAGATTTCTTCTAACCAATAAGGTGTTCTAATGGGAAGGTTTGCAAATTCATGGAAGGTCTTTTCCCAACTTCAGCAGTACAGTTCTCACACTTTTTCTCCTGGGGGCAGAGAGGGAGGGGCAGAGAATATTCTCTTATTAGAGAGTAAGAAACTTACTGGCTGTCTTCTGTTCCCAGAGTAAAATCTAATATTAAAGACCCTTCACAATTTCAATCCAACTTCTTTTTTCTTTTGGCTGAGCCATGAAACATATGGGATCTCAGTTCCCCAAAGAGGGATAGAACCTGCACCCTCTGCATCAGGAGCATGGAGTCTTAACCACTGAACCACCAGGAAGTCCCTCAAACTTTTCTAATCTCTCCCTATAATTAATAGAACAAGAGATATTATATAGTATATTATATACTGTATATTATATAGTATAGTATGTTTAATAACCTGCAGCCATGTTCTTTTCATTCTAAAAGGATACCTAAGACCCAAGGGGAAACTGATAAATCTGGGAGAGCCAGGCTTGCAATGTAGATAGTGAATATTGATGAAGGAACATGTCTTGCCGTAATCTTGGTTGCTTAGGTCCATAAAAGTGGCATTCAACAGCTGTTCTTGTGAAGGCAGAACAGAATGCCTCTCATGAGCAGAACATTCCAGGGGAGAGGGGTAGTACTCTTCAAATTAATATTCTCTGATGTATTTGATAACCCTGGGCTAGGTTAAATTCTTAACTGTCTTTAATGGTTTTTCTACACCTCTCTTTTATAGTAGTAGGAAGTTACCAACATAAAATTACTCTGAAATTTAGCACATGCGGGAACTCTAAAGGAAATCTGGCTAACAAATGTTGACTTAAGAAAGAGGGGACAGTTACCTGACAATATGTAGGTTTGAATAAATGTCATATATGTTCATAAAAATCCAGACTATTCATTTTAACCAATCAATGGAAAATGTGTAATTCTGAGAGTTAACTAAATGTCTCCTAGCTCTTTAACATATAAATCATATAACCTTAATAGTGAAATTGCTTTTCCTCCTCTGGAAATCCTACCTAGCTTGTTCTAACTACCATAAATTTAACATTTATTCATTATCTACTAGGTAGAGCTCTTCATAATTGTAGTCCTGGAGTTTATGTTTTCAGAATATTCTTGAGCCAGCATTTCCAGCTTCTCTCACTTCTTTACAGGGTAACTGACACGTCCTATTGCTTTTCTGTAGTTAAGGCTGGATTTATTAATACTCTTTGAAGTGAAGGAGCACACACACCATGGGAGAACCGTGAGGGTCTGTTTATCAAGCAGGGCTTACTGGTGTTGCTCTAAATACCAAGAGGTCTTTGACAGCTGTGCAGCCTCAAGCAGACGTTCCTGGGCTTTCCTTCCCTCTCAGGCCTCCATCCTCCGGAGTCAGTCTTATCATTTCATGTTTGAAGTTTCCCTTAAGAGTTAAACCAAATTTCTGATCATTCATTAAATACTTTACATAAAACAAAGGACTACTTTCCTTTGTCTACTTCTTGTAAGGAAGAGTTCAAAATATCCAGCCAGACTCATGATTTTATTGTATGTTTTCTTACTTAATACATTCAGAGACTTATATAAATTAGCTATTTATTAAAAATGTTACTCTCAACTGTGTTAACTCATGTGGTTCAAGGATACTGTATATACACAACCTGATTTGCTGTAACAATTTTCAGAAGCTATACAAATCTTTAGTAACAAATCAACTTAAACTTTTTTGGAAATAATTTCTACTAAAGATTCATAATTAGCATAGTCCTTCAATGACTGTACAAGTTCATCCAGTAGGTACTCTCCTTGCATAAAAGTTTCAAGATCATGAAGTGACTTGTTTATTCTGTGATCTGTGACCCGGTTCTGTGGAAAATTATATGTTCTTATTTTCTCTGACCTTCCTTTTGTGCCAATCTACATATTAAAAGAAAAAAAAAAAAGGATATAAGACAGTTAAATTCAGGGCAACTAAATCTACAAAGTTAATTTACCTGGAGATTAAGCTCTTGGTTTATAATTTGAAATACAATGTTAAAAACCAAATTTTAAATATTTTGAATTCTCAAATAACACAGGAACTTGATACAGAAAAAAGAACATAGGCTTGAAAGTGAGACAGCTTAGTACCTGAATTTTGAATCCTCTCTGCCATTTTTTACTTTGTAACTTCAAGTACTTTATTTCAACTTTAAACTTTAGTTTCCCTATTTTTAAAATACAGATAACATCTACTACACAGTGATAGTGCACACATACAGCCTGGCACAGACAGAGTTGATATCCAAAAATGGTAGCTAAATATACATAATCTCTGAATTAATCTGGTTATCATCAGTGATGACAAAGTGATCAACTCTCCATAATAAGGAGTTAATAGAAGGGGTCTGTAATTATAAAATCAACTGCCAAACAGAAGAAGGTAAGTTCAATTTCTGTTCCAACTTTCTTCCATAATTTTGAAAGGATTCAAAATTCATGGGAATTTGGTACATCTTTTTAAGATAACTTTGCAGAAAAGTCTGAGAAAGACACCTTTGAATACAAAAAACAGTGTAAAGGTGTAATAAGATTACTATAAAACAAGCCCTTGGTTGAACAACATGAATTATACTTTAATTCTGACAAATACAATGAAATAATTTTAACACATATAAAAACTGGGTAATTTAAAAATACTTTTATCCTTTCGAAGCATTTTTAAAAATTCAGTTTTACCTGAATCTTCCTAGCATTGTATCGTTTACTTGTTTCTTCTTCTAGCTGCAGGCTGTACAGTTTTGCACGTAACTTTTTCATAGCCATCTCTTTATTTTTCAGTTGAGATCTTTCTTGTTGGCATTCGGAAACAATACCTGAATAATGTTATGAGAATTAAGAGAGTTTTAATAGAAAAATCTTCTTCACGTATTATCAAGGAATACTCCTTTTCCTTCTCATCCTTTTTCTTCTTCGTTTACGAAGGAAAAAATAGAGGACTCTAATATAAAAAAAGGAATACTATACACATAACAGGTAACTTTACAGTTATTAGAAAATTGAAAATTGGAATTATAGCTTAAAATATTTACATACTGAAAGCATACATACTGAACAGTAAGCATTAGTCATTTAATATGGATTATTTTCTGTTACTTTTAGGCAGTCACCACAATTTTTTAAAAAATGTAGTCAACTACTCATTATACAAACTGAATTATAAAAGTTAATTTTATTACCAGAGATAATCACTATTAATATTTTTGAGGTTCACTTTTTTAATTCCTGTTTATATACAATGTGTTACATAAAACATCATCTTAAAGTTTAACATGAGAATTTTCTCATTAAAAAAAAAAAAATCAACCAAGCATTCCCATCAGGCACTATCCACCATGGAAATTACACCTATCTGAGATCATTTATAGGAAGATTAAGGTTTCCTATCCCCGTGCTCTTTTTCACATCTAAGTCACTGGAGCAATACTTGTAAAAACAGATATAGTTCTATCTACCACAATTCTTTAGAATTAAGAAAAATTACAGCTCCACTGCCTGACACTAATCAGGACAGAACCCCCAGATGTATGCAGATGGACTTAATGGAAAGAAGCCCCTGAAATTACATGCAAAACTTTCACTGCGAGGATTTTTTTTAAAATTAGTGATATAATCACTAACGTGGAAATTTCCTGGGCATGGATCTCTCCCTCTTCCTGGCTTTGTAATTATCCTACAGAGTTTCAGCTAAGGAATCTAGATAAATCAAGTATTGAAAATAAACAATTCCTGGTAGTCTATATGCCTCTGGTAACTGAAGATCTATTTCAGAGGAAACATCATTCAGAGTTGGATTTTTATGTTGAAGAAGGAACCACGCACCCGTTGGGAGATGAACGATCCGGACAGCACTGTCCGTGGTGTTCACATGCTGCCCCCCAGCTCCACTGGCTCGCTTAGTATCAATCCTCAAATCCTTAGGATTAATCACCAGGTTAATCTAGACGTAAGAGAAAAGTTGGGAGTTTTGAAAATTATGTATGTGACCTGTTCAAAGAGAATTATTTATAAAAATGCATGTCATAGATAATTATATAAGATTTGGAAGGTTTAAGAACAAAAAGTAATTGGAAGGATACCATTTTTTTTAAGACTTTTCTTACTGGAAGAGTGGGGCTTACCAGGTGGCACTAGTGGTAAAGCAGCCACCTGCCAGTGCAGACCTAAGAGATGCAGGTTCAATCCCTGGGACAGGAAGATCCCCTGGAGAAGAAAATGGTAACCCACTCCAGTATTCTTGAGTGGAGAATCCCATGCAGAGAGGAGCCTGATGGGCTACAGTCCACAGGGTCACAAAGCATCAGACATGGCTAAAGTATCTTAGCATGCACACAGTGGATAAGTATCAAAATATAACGCAAAATAAAAACAAACCCTCCCTAATCTTCAAAAACTAGACTTCTCTGTAAATTATCCTCGTATTACCAATGGCAGATCTCAGCTATTAATAGAAATGTGAATATAATATAATCACTAAAATGATTTCTGAGTTCAAAAGACTTTAGCGGAGAAAAAAAAATGACGCTTAAACAATATAGGAAGATTTTATTTTGTTTCATTTTAAATACAAGAGGATTTAAATATAATAAGAGGCAGAGCAGAGATGAATGGAAATGGCAAATACCAACAAGTCAAGGATACAGACTCGATTCACAAATACACTGGATCTGATGTCAGCAAATGCTCTGTCCTGGCAGTCACCATCCAAAGTACTGCATTTAAAAAGCTCTTGCATGAACTATACCCAGTCTGTGAGATGTCCACAACTCGAGCAGCAGGCATCTTATCATTCACAGGCCTTCTAGGTCTCCCTATGTAGCTCTTTACTGTTGCTAAGAAGAATTAAATGAGATGATATATGGACCTTAGTCTCCATCTTTTCCTGAAAACTTCCATCTCCAAGATGTTTAAGCCAAAGTGACTAGTATCAAGGTGTTGCTTTTGCCATTTATCCTGCTTCCCCCTCTCCCTTAACTATCCTGTTCCTCACCAAGATTTCCAAAATTAAGACTAAAGAAAGGAACTCCTCCGTGTACCCTAATAGACAGTAATACAGACTTTCCCTAAAAAGTAATAAACAGAAATCCTCAAGCTTCCTTCTCACATGCTTCTTATTTCATTCTAAAACACAAGTTACAAATTTCCCATCACTTTTCAGCGTAAGTGATGTAAGCAAAATAGAACTTCCCAACTAAGCTACTTAAAAATATATAGACTGAGAATTTCCTGGTGAAAATAAAATATACTCATTGTGTACAATGTTGTGATGTGTTACTATTTTAATATGATTGGATTATAAAGTAGCAATTCTGTAAAGTAGTTACCCTTTGTTAAAACAGGATTCTTGCTATCGATATTCTGGGAACAAGTAACACAAAGCAAGTCTTTATAAAGGCAAGTGGTTCGTAAACTCTATTTAATATTGTTTCTCCTTTAGATGGTCTCAAAATACCTGCTGTAAGCTTAGTAGTGGACAAATAATAGACAATGCAAGACTATATGACTTTGTTGTTGTTTAGTCAACAAGTCATGCAAAGATGGACACAATAAAGGACAGAAATGGTATAGACTAACAGAAGCAGAAGATATTAAGAAGAGGTGGCAAGAATACACAGAACTGTACAAAAAAGATCCTAATGACCCAGATAACCATGATGATGTGATCACTCACCTAGAGCCAGACATCCTGGAATGCGAAGTCAAGCATCACTACGAACAAAGCTAGTGGAGGTGTGGAAGCGTCACTACGAACAAAGCTAGTGGAGGTGATGGAATTCCAGTTGAGCTCTTTCAAACCCTAAAAGATGATGCTGTGAAAGTGCTGCACTCAATATGCCAGCAAATTTGAAAAACTCAGCAGTGGCCACAGGACTGGAAAAGGTCAGTTTTCATTCCAATTCCAAAGAAAGGCAATGCCAAAGAATATTCAAACGACCGCACAACTGCACTCATCTCACATGCTAGCAAAGTAATGCTCCAAATTCTCCAAGCCAGGCTTCAACAATACGTGAACCGTAAACTTCCACATGTTCAAGCTGGATATAGAAAAGGCAGAGCAACCAGAGATCAAACTGCCAACATTCGATGGATCGTCAAAAAAGCAAGAGAGTTCCAGAAAGACATCTACTTCGGCTTTATTGACTATGCCAAAGCCTTTGGCTGTGTAGATCACAACAAACTGGAAAATTCTTAAAGAGATGGGAATACCAGACAACCTGACTTGCCTCCTGAGAAATCTATATGCAGGTCAGGAAGAAATAGTTAGAACTGGACATGGAACAACAGACTGGTTCCAAATAGGGAAAGGAGTATGTCAAGGCTCTATATTGTCACCCTACTTATTTAACTTCTATGCAGAGTACATCATGTGAAATGCCATGTTGGATGAAACACAGGCTGGAATCAAGATTGCTGGGAGAAATATCAGTAACTTCAGATATGCAGATGACAACACCCTATGGCAGAAAGTGAAGAACTACAGAGCCTCTTGATAAAAGTGAAAGAGGACAGTGAAAAAGTTGACTTAAAACTAAACATTCAGAAAACTAACATCATGGCATCCAGTCCCATCACTTCATATCAAATTAGATGGGGAAACAATGGAAACAGTGACAGACTTTATTTTTTTTTTTGACTCCAAAATCACTGCAGATGGTGACTGCAGCCAAGAAATTAAAAGACACTTGCTCCTTGGTAGAAAAGCTATGACCAACCTAGACAGCATATTAAAAAGCAGAGACATTACTTGGCCAACAAAGGTCCGTCTAGTCAAAGTTATGGTTTTTCCAACAGTCATGTATGGATGTGAGAGTTGGACTATAAAGAAAGCTGAGTGCTGCAGAATTGATGCTTTTGAACTGTGGTGATGGAAAAGACTTTTGAGAGTCCCTTATACTGCAAGGAGATGCAACCAGTCAATCCTAAAGGAAATCAGTCCTGAATATTCATTGGAAGGACTGATGCTGAAGCTGAAGCTCCAATCCTTCGGCCACCTGATGCAAAGAACTGACTCATTTGAAAAGACTCTGATGCTGGGAAAGATGGAAGGCAGGAGGAGAAGGGGACGACAGAGGATGAGATGGTTAGATGGCATCATCAACTCAATGGACATGAGTTTGAGTAAGCTCCGGGAGTTGGTGATGGACAGGGAAACCTGGCGTGCTGCAGTCTATGGGGTCGCAAAGAGTTGGACATGACTGAGCGACTGAACTGAACATGTTCGACTTGCGACCCCATGGACTGCAGCCCTCCAGGCTCCTCTGTCCATGGAATTTCCCAGGCAACAATACAGGAGTGAATTGCCATTTCTTTCTCCAGGGGATCTTTCCAACCCAGGAATTGAACCCGCATCTCCAGCATTGGCAGGCGGGTTCTTTACCACTGAGCCACGAGGGAAGCCCTTCAGTTCACTTATATATCCTTCATTCTTACCATTTATTGTTAAAATCATACCTATTGGACTGTCCTAATATACTTGAAAAACCAACTCAAATACAAGATGAAAGTCGAATAAGAAAAGGAGATACTTAGTTCAGTGAGGAGAGTGTTACTTGGGGGCAAGGCGCTGTGCTGGGCTAGGACTCCCAGGAGTGGGGGCTCTGGTGCCTTACCTCGGTGGGCTGGGGTAAGATGGCCACAGTCATGGTGCTGGTGTGGATGCGGCCTTGCTTCTCTGTCCTGGGCACTCTCTGGACTCTGTGCACACCTCCTTCAAACTTCATGTGCTTATAGGCTTCTGAACCCCCAATGCTGGCGGACGCATGTCTAAGGCCACCTTGAAAACATTGGTGAAAGAGGTTTGTTATTCCTGCCAGTTATAAATAACTGACCATCACTTCTATCTTGAAATATAATTAAAGGAGCTACAAAATTATATAAACACATCAACTGTGAATCACTGAAAGCCTTTAGCAAGTCTATGATATTCAGTGTTTTAGTATCTTTGTTGCTTATAATTATTAAACATAAAGCATTTATGGAGTCAACAAACTGACTCAGTAACACCCTGAAGAACTACTTTTAAAAGACCATTAGTCACTGAGTGACAAGTATTTTATAGGCCATTTGAAAACTGGTAATATTTCTGCATTCAACATTATTAAGTTTGAGCAAACTCTGGAAGATAGTGAAGGTCAGGGAAGACTGGCATACTGCAGTTCACGGGGTCGCAAAGAGTTGGACACGACTTAGCAACTGAACAGCAACAGTTATGAAGTAAATGACAAGCATAAAACTACTTAATCATCCTTAACAAAACTTAAAAAGCTGAAGCATGGTCTTTCCAACCTTTTCTCTAAAATACACATAGATAAATAAATAAAACCTATGCTTTTCTCAAAACAAACCAAACTGTTTACTGACCTATTTCACTTGGAAAATATTCCAGGGTTTCAAAATGCCATCTTTTAAATGCAGCATACTGCTGATACATATCAAATATCTCTGAGGTAAACAACATTGCCTCCTGACCCCCAACTCCTGCAGTTACTTCCAGGATCAAATCATTTTTATCTGTTTCTTCTGAGGGAACCAAAAGTAAGATAATCTGCAAATGAAAAATATCACCCCTCCTATAATTAAGATTTGTAACTTTTTGAAAAAGAGCTCAGTGATTATAGAATTCGCACAACTTCCAAAAATATTAAGGTTACAACTACATTACAAATGCTATAAGGTTCAGCTAAAACTTACAAGTTTATTTCTTTTTGGTGTTCATGTATACTTTATATTAGCTCTCTATTCGGTTAATAATTAAGTCCTTGCTATGAGTAGGACACTGTATTGTGTGTAGCAGGCAGAAGAAGCAATCCTTGGAGATTTATAGCCTACTATTGGAGAAGGCAATGGCAACCCACTCCAGTACTCTTGCCTGGAAAATCCCATGGACAAAGGAGCCTGGGAGGCTGCAGACCATGGGATCGCAAAGAGTCGGACACGACTAAGTGACTTCACTTCACTTATGGCAGGAAAAGAACACTCAGATTGCATTTGTATTTTTTCTAAGCTTCTTTAATATGGAAGAGACACTTGGAATTTTGGAACTGGAGATGCTCTTAGAGATGATCTGGTCCAATTCCCTCATTTTACAGGTCAAAGAAAATGAGATTAACAGAGTGCAACGGTGAATTAAAAAGCCAAGTGTCAGTTACTGGAACTCAGATCCTTGTGCCTAAGTCAGTCTTCCTTCCATTAAAATTGTATGTTTCACACTTCAGTGTGTATTAATCACAGAGACATAGAATAAAGACTTCTCAGATGACGTGAATTAAGAAAGAAAAAAGCTGCCAACATTTATAAAAATGGTTCTTTAATAGACAGGCACTCTGCTAAGTACTTCATGTATTTTAATTCTTAACACATCTTGGGCAGGTGCTATTAACAGCTCCACCTTAAGATGTGAAAACTAAGTTTCTCTAAGTTTAACTTAACTAGTAAGTTTAACCCTAGTTGGCCAATACCCTATAACTAGAAAGTGAAGGGCTAGGACTTGAACCCAAGTCTACCTGAGTTGTGAAACATCACCACTCTGTGTTGGTCAGGAGCTATCCTTGTTTTCCTACTTTTCCATCGCTCTGCTGCTGCTGCTTAGTCGCTTCAGTTGCGTCCGTCTCTGTGCGGCCCCATAGACGGCAGCCCACCAGGCTCCTCTGTCCCTGGGATTCTCCAGGCAAGAACACTGGAGTGGGTTGCCATCTCCTTCTCCAAAGCATGAAAGTGAAAAGTCAAAGTGAAGTCGCTCAGTCGTGTCCGACTCTTAGTGACCCCATGGTCTGCAGCCTTCCAGGCTCCTCCGTCCATGGGATTCTCCAGGCAAGTGTACTGGAGTGGGGTGCCATTGCCTTCTCCGTTTCCATCGCTCTAGCCTGTGCCAATAGAATGTGACCATTCACATCTTGAACTAGCATGACGCAACTTACACCTGTGTCAATGAACAGAAACCATTAATACATGCATTCTTCTACCTCACAGAAAGCTTATAGAGTAGAAGGCAAGTGACCTGAGACTTTTCAGTCTATTGTGGAACTTTTCTAGAGTAGGTGGTGGGGAAATTAATTTTTGGAGAATTCCACACTTAGGTAAAGAGATGGAATTTCTAAGTGAAGCAGTTCCAAGCCCGTCGTCACTTTATCATGTTCTTTCCCTTATATTTCCAGAGAGAACTGCTGTAGACCTTTAAGCTCTGCTTCACAAAATTAACAAACAACGGATCTAACTTCATGATTTTTCACCTAATTTAATATCTTCTTCTGCAGTTCTCCTGGATATAAAGTCAATACTCTTAGATATAAATGCAATTCTGTTTTCAAAATCCTGCGGGGCCTAGTCTAGGCTGGCACTCTCTGAGTGTCAAAGACAAAAAGATAAAGAAATATTCCTGCTTCCACCTACCTTTGCTCCACAGCCTCTTCTACTCATGTCGTTCCCCTTATTACCAACATTTCATTGCCTTCTTGGAAAATTCTATTAATGTGACATTCATCTTTCTTTCAGACTTCTACAATCCTTTTAGTATGATAAAAACAGAGCTTCTTCTGCTTTCAAAACCAGGTTTATAATTGTAAATACTAGCACTTTCTTGACTTGCTTTTATAAAGTTCTAATAAAATATATTAGAAGTAACAGCAGAATGCTTTATTCTTTGCACAAATGCCATACCTGATGCTTTAATTGAGCTATTTCTTTTTCACATGAAGTTATTTCATTTTCGGCAAGTTTCCTTAAGTCCTGATTTTCATCTAAGAAAAAAAGGCAGCAGGTTGAGTCTTCCTGAATTAGTATTAAATAGCTAACAGAGTTCAAGGCAAAAGTTTTGTCATTGCTAAAGGGAAACGTAACAATTATCTTTTTTTAATAACTGTCATTAATTTATAGCACTTTGTGCACTAGTTTTTATGAGCATGCAGTTAAAAAACAAAAACTTTTCTCCTGAGGAGAAGGGTAGAAGTTAAAAATAATCTCTATAGGAAAATACAAAGAAGCTACTAAACTTTTCTATAATTCTTCCTCCCCCAACTATTCATATTAACAAATATGCTTTTAGTTTTCAAACTTAGACTCTACAATAACAAATGAATGCACTGAGTGAGTTAGATCAGAGGGGAATATAAGGTACCATTAGTAAAGCCAATACTGAGTTAAAAAGTAGAAAGTTATTTATTGTCTTATTAGTAAATGCTTCATTAATATAAAAGTATCCACCATTTAGACCCTGCCTGATATTTACAGAGTATTTACATGAAGTACTCTTCTTCTCTTTCAGGCTTTACTCTAGTTCTTATTTCATCTAGTTTTCACTTTTACCTTACAAAATATACCTCCTCTTTCCTCTATCTGACAGACAACATGCAGCCTATAAAAAGGAGAGAAGGGGAAATTGTATTAGCTACTACAGTCTGTCATCTCTGTTGAAAGATCAAACTCTGTATTGGCTGGAATGTCTTAATCATTTACTAAGAACCACCTATGCTGGGAACAGGGAATAACATGTAAGACTTGCCCTCAAGGCAGGATTTTAGGTCATTTTAGTTTCTTTATATTATTCTAGGGGAGAAAAGCTCACAAAAAATAACAGCCTAAAATGTTATACGGTTAAATATTAAAATAACAGCATGCAGAAGGAATTTTTTGCTTGTTTTAGGGATGGGCAGAAAAAAGGATTAACTCAATGAGAGATAATAGCAACAGCAAATTGAGATAAACAAATACAGGGAGTGTTGGTGACATGGCAGGAAATTATTTTGGCAAGAATGGTTTATGAGATTTGGTGAAATGGAAAAATGTACTTCATTAAAAAATTCAAAAATGAATTAGAACCCCAGTTCAACCACTAAGGTTCTCGTAGAACATCACTCCTAACTTCTCTGAATCTTAGTAATCTCAAGAGTAAAATGAAAGATCTGAGTTGGATGACTTCTAAGGGGCCTTATTAGCTCTGAAATGTAGTGTTCCAGTTAAGATGAAGAAGACTGGAACTAGAGTACAGAAGTAATCTAACTTAAATACCACATTTTATTTAATTCAGGTCCCCCAAATACTATCAATTTCAACATGTAATGAATATAATTTTTTTTTTTATATTAAGGCTTTGTGGCTGCTACTTGGACTTGAAGCTTGGCTTATGAAACTGATTTAATTTTCCCCTAAAAGATGCTACTTCTATTTTTTTTTTTTTTTCTTTAACACTCTGGGCAGCTTCTTCTCTTAAATCACTTAACTTAAGACTCTCCTTAAGTCTCGACTATACAGTTGCATTAGCCTTCTGTCTTCCATGGCATCTTTAGTCCTGTTTCAGATTGCTTCTAAACTGCCATCCATCAAAGTTCCTAAGCAACAAAGCTATTTCTATGATTCACTCCCAATCCAAAAACTTCTGCTGGCTTCTTTCTGCCAAAAGGATAAAACTAAACTTGGCAGGTTAGTATTTGAGCCCTCTTACAAAATGGTTAACCCCCCACCCCTTTCTCACTTATCAGCTGTATCAGAATTAATTTTCTTGCTTCAGTAGACTGTGACCCTCTCCAGAACCTTTCCTCTGTGTGGGCCACAGGCCAGCCACTAGGAATCCCCAGGAATTTGTGCAAATTAAGTAACTTGGGCCCCATCCAGATTCGAATGGGCGTGAATCACTTGGCAAGCTTGTTAAAACCGCCGCATGTTTCTAAGTCTCAGAGTTCCAGTCTAGGTTTACTTAGCACCCATTTCTCCTGTCACTTTCGCAGGTGGCCGCTCTACCACACTGAGAAACACTGCTCTCGACTCCTTAACAGGAATAGGGCCTTGTCTTCGGTGAGCTCATCTCCTGCTATTAAATATGCAACCAATTAAAGTCAACTTAAGTTTTGTAAAAGGGCGTACAGCACTGTCAAGAGAGCACAAGGAGAGGACGGGACCAGAACTCACATAATGATGTCTTGACCTCTGGTGTAAACCATAAAGAGCTGCAACTGACTATAAACTTCAAAATCAGAGTGTGCGGAGACATGAGCGGCGGCTTGGTGCAAAGGGCAAATGAAGAGTCAAGCTTCGGCTCTGAACCCTGCTCCCCTAGGCCAGGCCCTTACCATGCAGCAGGTGCTGGGTCTCCTGCAGCTCCTGCTCCTTGTCGCTCAGAAGTTTGGCCGCCGCCACCAGCTCAGGCCGCCTGACCTGTAACTGGGCTTCAGAGCCCACCTGGCGCTCGAGGAAGGTCCGCAGAGGTCCGCCGCGTGCAAACAGCTCCTCCAGGGGCAGGTTACTGCAGCTTAGGTGTCGGCGGGCCGGGACAATATCCCGGCGGGCCCAAAAGCTCCGAAAAACATTCCAAACGAACGGGGAGCGCATAACTACAGCCAGTCCACCATGGCAGACAAGACCCGGAAGTTCCGGACAGAGCACATCTCGCGATGCCGCGCGGCTCGGACACAGGGGCGAGACCTATCCGAGCTCCGCCCAACTCACGCGCCGGTTTAAAGGGACCTCCAGGAAGCCTGGTTGGGAACGCATTATTAAACGCCGTAGTATTCGCGGAGGCCGGAAGTTGAGGAGCCGAGCCAAACTGATAGGGGCGGGTCTGAGAGGCCTCGGGCACCTCCTCTAAAGGGTAGGTCAGAAACGCCTCCTGGAACGAGCCGGGGCGGACTATTGGGCCGGAAGGGGAAAGGCGTAGATTGTCATTACGCTTTCTGACGTCGAGGTTGCTTCTCAGGTACTCAGTGAAGCTTTCGAGTACCTCGATGGAGGGCCGTTCAGTGTCAGCTACAGGAGCTGAGGTCACAGCACAGATGTCAGCCTGGACTGTCGTCTCCAAAGGCGAACTGTAGAATGGCCATCATTGTGTGTATGTGTGTCTACTCCTCTTCCATTTCTCCTGCTCCTCTTTCTCCTTTCGACGGTGGTTAAGGCTCGTATTAATGGGGACGTGACAAGTGGACTCGGAAGACCAGTCACCGAGTGATTTAGCAAAACCTCCTTTCCTGCCCTTTATCTGCCACTTAATTTACATAGCTTTTAAACGACTTGTTTCCAACCGATTCTTCTGCCTAGTCTCACTTAGCCCTTGTTAGTCGGCTACTTTTTAAAGACGTTGAGCCATTCATTTCCTGTTGCTGCTAAACACTGCCAAGCTAGGGCTTGAGGGCCCCGCCTCCGGTGCCCCGCCCGCCAATTTGAGATGGTGGATTAGTGCTCAGAATACTGAAGTTTATTGGCGTAATGCTTTTGAATTTTTAAAGACCTCTTCATAGACCACCAGAAGAATGTATAGGAGAGGATAATACAACCCAGAGAGGCCTGGGGATGCTGCGGCTGAACTCTCAGTTGGGGAACTCTCGCCACCTAATTAGTTTGAGCAGGGCTTACTGAGTGGTAGCGTAACTCTACAGAGACCTGACGTACTGGAAAAGCTGCTCACTTATTTATTTTTTAAATATAAAAACACAGGAGTCCTTGGCAAGGTTAAGTCATCCTTACTTAAGTCATCTAATCAAAATTAAGTATAAAATTCTTACAAAATGCGCTTGCATTGCGTCTGCTGTATTCATTTCTGTACTCTACAAACAAATGCAAAGTGAGGCAGAAGAATGAGATCACTCTCCAAACAATATAAAACAGAAATATGTGTGGCTGCTTAGAAGCTTCCACTAACTCAAATCTTCTTTTATTTTGTATGCGAATTAAAGCCACACTACTTTTACAAAATTGTCTTGCTTTAAAATAGTGATCGAAATCGAAGCTAAAAAAATTCTAATCCGAGTATAGAACGGGACTGATGAGGTTATCTACATCTCTTTTAGGAACAGGTATTTCTCAAGTCTAAACTCAACTTTGAATATTGTTTTAAGCACAGAACTAGGGGGAGCTACTTGACTCAAATCTCTCAGCTGAATTTTCAAAACAAATCATTTCATGAACATACTTCATTACTTATAAAAGGTGCAAAAATGTAATAAGCAATAACCTTGTAAAATAATATAAAGAATCCAACCAGAAATTATTTTCCCTCAGATGTGTAAGCAATTTAAGTAATATAAGTAAGTGTACCTTTACTCCTGTAATGTGACACCAATGAGGAAACAGTGACTTGTCTAAGGATACATGGGTGAATTCTTTATTAATTCAAAACATTTTTAAAAAGTCAGTGTGTAATGCATGTGCGTTTTACAGTAATATCCATGGGTGTCCACAGTGTAGTCAAATGAAAACAGCTGTAGTTTGATTTACTTTGAAAAGTCAAAGATATATACTGTTTGAGATTTCTGAATTTTCTTACATTATTGTCATGCTCAACTTCTATTATATGTTGAAGATTCTAGCATTTTCAGGAAGTCTTATTGTACATAGGTAAAAATAATAAAATAGATTCAAGGAAGGAGGAATAAAAACCCAAAACAACTTAAGTTAGAGGAAAAATACTCTGGATTATCTATTCAATTTATAAGTACCTACAGTTATTTTGGCATTTCAAAATAACCAAGCATGGTATATCAAGTTATATTCATGCATTCAAAACTTCTTTATGGTCCACTAATAAATACTGATCAACTCCAAAATATGGATATAGATTATTAAGTACAATGAACATAGTAGCAAAAATTTACACATGTTCAATATGATAAATTTTACAAGAATCGAACACATTGAAATTATTTTTAATATTTAGCAAACATCTTAAAATCATATACAAGAAACATTGTATTTATCACAAATAGGTTAAAGCAAGATGGAAAAAATCAAGTCTTTTACATTATTCCAGTATTCGGTGTTTATTGTTCAGTGAAAGGCAATATAGAAAAGTACTCACTAAAACGACCATCAATTGAGATTACCTTTTAAGACAGTAAGACTAAAATCTTCACTACCCAAGAGATGTAGAGGATTAAGGTAATTATACACATAATTCAAGAGAAGAAATTCACTTTCACCCCCATTAAGTGAATATTCAAGTTAACGCTATTTTGGAGTTTTACTTTCCTATATCAATTTCCAGTTCATTATATTTTCTTCATAGTGTTTGTTAGCAGTCATTTAATGGAAACTAATAGCAGTGCAGAGGAATCTGCTCGGAGTATTATCTCAGTGTAAATGTCCAGTAAATTTACCTCCAAAATACCCTCTTAAAAAATGTATCACTTTACAGTGGAAAAATCTAACAGACACTACCTCAGTCATACGATGAAGTCCAACATCAACAATAAGTCATGTTGATGATGGTATGTACCTTTGATATGATGTGATATGAACGGCACTTCTGTGGTCTTTCCTCCAAAATCTGATAACACCTGTCTAATCATGGGAAAACGATCAGAAAAATTCCAACTGAGGGACATCTTACAAAATACTAGGCCTGTAACTCCTCAATACTGCCAAGGTTATCAAAAACAAGAGAAGCTTGAGAAAATATCATAGCTAAGAGGGTAACATGATGACTAAATGTAATACCGTATCTTGAACAGAATCCTGGAACAGAAAAAAAAAAATTATGAAAAGCTAAGGACAGGGAAGCCTGGCATGCTGCAGTCCATGGTGTCTCAAAGAGTCGAACATGACCTAGCAACTGAACAACAATAAAGGAATCGGAATAAAGTGTGGACTTAATAATGCATTGATATTGGTTCGCTGGAGAAGGAAATGGCAACCTACTCCAATATTCTTGCCTGAAAAAAATCCCATGGACAGAGGAGTGGTGGGCTACAGTCTTTGGAGTTGCAATGAGTCGGACGGGACTTTGGGACTGAACATGCACAGATTGGTTCATTTATTGTGACAAATGTTTCATGGGTGTGATGTGTATGGATCCTATCTGTACTATCTTTTCAGTTTTTCTGTAAATCTAAAACTATTCTAAAAAAGTTTAATAAAAAATTTTATGAACACACAACTACCTTTTACTCTTACTTTCATGATAAACTTATTTTAAAAATCATACTACCTTAATATTAAAAAGCATGCTTTCTAGTCCATGGCAGTGTCAATGTTTTCTACTGGCTGTCTTTTTTAACTTGGGTTTTAGCTCTAACTCCTACATATTTGCTTGGCAAATTAACCAATAAACTCTCCTATGCTTGGGGATGTTTATTTCCTGTGGAATTTAAATTTCCAAATGATTTCTCTTAAACTTTGATTTAAACCTACAATATTATACACACACTCACACATCTGCATATATGCATCTAAATATATCTGTGTGTGTGTCATTGAAAGAAACATATTTCTTGTTTGTAGATTGAGTGTGATATTGGTGAACTGAGAACAGTGATTTTGAATCACATTATTGAACAAAGCAATAACATATTCATATATTCTTCCGTCTTAAAATGAGCTTGATTGTATTTTTTGAATGAATAATTCAATCAGATTTTTAAAGTACAGTTTCAAAAAAATCTGGGCAAGTGCATTGAAGGCATTTAACACATACATTCTTGAAATGGGAATTATTGAGCTAGAGAACTTTGATAAAATAATAATATGTAACACTTCACTCTTTCCATGTTTAATTCATTCTCATGGCAATCCTGTAAATTTTTATATCCTTCATTTGAAGAGAAAGAAACAGGTTCAGAGAGGATAAATGATTTGCCCAAAGTCACATGAGACAGATGTATAACTGGATGTCAAATTTATAATTAACACCTGGTATTTGGAAAGAAAATATCTATCTGTGGACTGTTGTGTGTTACAAGGATACTACTAAGAGTGCTGCAAGGAAGATCTGAAACCAGTTTTTGATATCAGTTTCACTGGTAAATATTTGCAGTTGTAGCAAGTAAGGAATAACTAAACATGGATTATTTTTCTCAGAAGAACAAACATTTTATATTGGTCAGAGATTTTTTAAAAAGAACTGAAAAGGGCATACAAATTCACGTGTCTGCAAGTTATACTTTGAAAACTTAAGGTCATAAACTGTCAGTATAAACACAGGTCAAAAAACAATTCTAGTAATATCTTTCCCACTTTTCACAATAATTTGCCATCTAATGCAAAGTTTTCAAAGCTTGTGTTTGATAGGGCCCTATCCGTAGACTTTCTAGATGGCCTATTTTCTATTTTCTGACTGTATTTTAAATTTCTTCCTTGCATACTTCTTCCTCAAAGTGTCTGGTATATTGCCATCTTGTAAATATAGTTTGTTACAACTACAATATGACATTTTTTTTCAATATAAGTTAAAAGTGTATAGAAAAAAAAGGATACATTCAAAAATAAGAATCAGGTATTATTTTAAATCAGCTTAATGGGGTGAAAGTATATTTTTGCCCCTAATAAATAAATACTGTTTACCTATTTCTACAGTCCTTTTGCAAAACTGAACTCTCAGGTAAATATATGATACATATTTCATTCCACACTAACAACCTAGGCAGCATGAAATGATACTAATAAACACCCCATGCACCATGACCAAATATCAACTGGTCATCTTATGTACATATTTTAAGATTAAAAAAAGTGACCACATTATGGTCTTGACTTTTGCACTTCATAGTGTTGATATCAAAATTGTGTTTTGCTATTGTTCTTTTGCCAGTGCGCCTACTGCACTTAGAGCTGCCCTATAACACTGTTGGGATATCTGTATTACCTTTGGGTAACATAATAACTATTATTCAAAGTAAAGAAGCATCATCCATTCATTTTTAATGTGATCTAAGTTCAAAATCCATCTCAGAACAAATCTCTCCAATTTATATAAATATATATGTATATTTATATATGACCTATATCCTCTACTTTTCTTTCCATTATAGACACATCTGAACTTAGGCATTATTTAAAGAGCATTAACCTCTTTCTGTGTACATTAGCAGATTCTAACAGTATACAAAGATATTTCAGTAATGTAAAACATAAAGTGTACCTTCTAAAGTGCTAATTTTTCCCCAGGGAGGAACTTACTCTCTAGAAAAAATCAAACTCTACCAAAACAAATATTGTGCTCTTAGAATGGTAGCATAGACACCAGTTGAGGGCTTTTTTTGTTTGTTGGTTTATTATAGCTCTGTAATTAAAACAGAAAGAATTACACCATACTTTAAAAATTGGTAGAGTTGCAGATACATAGACATACTGTTAGATACACTTAAAACATTTTGAAATTAAAAGAGATGCTCTCCCCTCCCCTGAAAATAGGAATTTAGCACAGAAGTCCTCACGTAATGTGGTTATCAACATTTGATGGTAAATCTACCCTAGACTCATTCTCAACACATTTCTAATCAGGTTTCAAAAGGGTATATCAGCTTCAAAATCTGTATTCTACAAATGCCCCAGGTTAGAGATTAGGACTCTTTATAAGGGCCCTATCTTTTACATTTGGTAAAATATTAAAAGTATTGTCAAACAGACAATTCATCTAGTAGTCCAAAGTATCTTATAAAGATAACTTATGACTAGCAGGTCACCATCATATATAGTAACAACAAGAATATAAAGTCTACACTTAAAAAATTTGATTCATGCAGTGTATCATAGTATATTACATATTTTCTAGTCATGTGTACCATACATTGTGCCTCAAACACAGAAACAAATATGATATTACAACATATATGTGTATACATCATTGTAGCATAACAAACTCAATTCTAATCAAGAAAAAAAATAATTTAGGAACAATAAACTTCACGATAGAAGTGATGATTCTTTTAGGTCTTTCTTCACTTGTTAGGAAAAAAATATGACTTTTTGTAAACATCTTCACAGCTCTCTTTTTCCACTATGTTACTTAAAACTATTATTCAAACAGTAAATATTTAATTGACATGGATAAAGCATGTCTTAACACTAACACTTTCAGACAAAAACAGGCATTTGTTAAAAGAAATGTTTATTATAAATATTTTCTATCTTATATTTTAACTACATTTTCATAAAGAATGTATTTAAAAGTGCTGAATATGGTAGGATAGTCAGCAACGCCAGTGTAAACAGAATGCTTTGTTTTCCACTCTGCAAACTTTTTTTTTTTAATCCCATTTTGTCAAACACTGCAACAGTTAAAATATTTGCATAGGGAATAGATTATAGCCCTTTTAATCATATCTCCTGAATGCTATACAAATTAGAAAATCAAATTCACATAAAAAAATTCTTGAAATGTTTAACTTTATGGAAAAAGAAAATTACGATGCCAACCTTTCAAGTAAAGTAAATTTTAAAAAGAAAACCCCAAAGTTGTTTTTCTTAAAAAAAGTTTAATAAATTAAAAAAATGAGAGGTAGTTAAAAAATGACAAAGGAAACTTATAATTTTAATATCATCCTTAATATAAGGCCAGTATTCTTAGTGGATATAAATATTTTTAAAACTTTCATTTTAGGTTACTCAATATTATACTTATTAAGTTTAAGATTAAAAAAATAGCCTCCAGGGGATATTAATATTCAAATCTAACACTTTGATATAAATATGACACTGTTGTTTGTGTGTGCATGATAGGATACTGTTTCTTTGAATGTCAAAAGTACATGCCAAGATCAGGCAAGTATTTTTTGTCTTAAAAGATTTAGTGGTACTTATAAAAAAATAATATGGCAGCTAAAACATTTGAGCACTGTTCTGCCTTTCAATTAGGGATGAGAAGTAATAGTTTGGTTTTAACATATTTTAAATAAGTTATTTTTAAGATACTATGTGAAAACAGTTAAGGTCTGAAGTAGAGAATTATCTTCTAAAGAACCCCTATAAAACTTTTCTTCATTAAAAACGTTAGCTTTTACTGGATTTCACTTTCAACGAAAATATGCCACAGTCCAGATGCTATTCATCCAAAGTTTTAAGATGCTACATATAGGCATTCCTTTATTAAATCTTTTCTTTGTATTCCAAAACTAAGTTATCAAGCTTTTTTTTTTCTTGCTAAAGTACATACTTTATGCAACCATTTTAGAACTGGAGAGCCAGTCTTTAATAAATTAATTACAGTATTGGACATCTGATATATACATAGATTCATTTTCTTCTATTACAACTAAAAACAATATCACTCTTTGATTTGTCATTGAGATAGAATATCTTCAAATTGTTTTGTGCTTTTTCTTTTTTCCTCATATTTTATATATATTATTTTTTACATAGCAAACTCTTCTGTAATGAAAATGCCACAGTTTTGGCAGTGAACAACCAGAGGAATTCCCCCATGAGGATCTTCCAACAAACAGAGATAAATAGCTCTTTTTTTCATGTACAGAAATATTGGCTTCAAAATTAGTGTACTGAACACAGTATATAGCATGTTGACTATCAGAGTTACAATTTTAAAATTGGCTTTTTCTGTCTTAGATTATATTTAAAAATGCAAACCACAGCCAACTTTTGGGCAATTATTTCTATAAGACCATATTGCACAAAAGTCCTTAAATACAGACCTAAGTTATGCCATTTGGATTTAAGTGTTGCGACAACTATGTGGCAAATGAAGCGGGTTTACTTGGCACATGCAGTCTCTGGGTACACTAGGAGACTTCATAGGACCTCAAGTACAGTTTGCTTGCAAGTAGAATGCGTGTTCAACAAAATAAACTTAATTTGGCAATTCATTGTTTCATGTGGTATTTTCTCCAAAGTAACCACGGATAAACCTTGATAAAAATGGAGACAAAGACCATATGGTTGTATTTTCACAGTAGCCTGAGGAATGCTAAACTGTAGTTCTCCAGGAACTCAGCTTCAGGTGTTACATAATTACATTTATTTTTCATCACAGCCCTCCAAAATGGTTTTCTTTAATAAAAATTAAGATTCAGAAGTAGAGCTGGCAGTACTTTCAACAAATGACTTATAAATTTGAGAGTTCAAAAACCTGGGGAAAGAATCTCTGTGCATTAAGGTATATATCTGGAGTTGGGCATCTTCATACATGTGAGGATTAGGATCCAACAGATTTCTATTGATCACCTCTCTAACTCGAGAATCGAGACTGACCTAAAAAGAAATAAGAGCAGATATATTAAATAATATTTTTTCAAAAGATCTCAATCAAGTAACTATATGCTCATGACATTTCAGAGAAAGCTTAAAGAGTAAATCTAAAAATCATGAGGTTATGTTTTCAAAGGTTTCATAACCCTGCAGACTTTTCTCCTTCAAAAATGGAATTAAACAAAAACCAACTTTTAAAGCAAAATTTGAGTTCAGATATCTTGGCTTACTTGGATGTACCTCTTCTATGCATTCATTCGGGAGTTTTTGACAATTTCTCTCATGTTGCAGTGCTGGAGAGTCCCCTAGCTAGAATACAAAGTTGAGCATGTGTGTGTGTAAGTTGCTCGGATGTGTCCGACTCTTTGTGATGTCCCCCATGGACTGTAGTCCACCAGGCTCCTCTGTCCATAGAATTCTCCAGACAAGAATACTGGAGTGGGTTGCCATTCCGTTCTCCAGGGCACCTTCCTGATCTTCTCCTGGGTTTCCTGAACTGCGGGCAGATTCTTTACTGTCTAAGTCGCCCAGGAAGCCCCTAACCAGATTAGAAAGTTACCTCCTCCCATTATGTGACTGCTGGGCTGACTGTCTTCATTGAGCAAGATACAAATCTAGCAGAGAGTAGTTCTCTGTCAAAACAACATGTAAATTACATACCGATGCCTGACAGTTTCACATCCCAGCAAGTCCTGCCGTGCCAGGAGGACACCGGGGACGTGGAAGGGCTGGGCAGAGCAGAACCAGAGCACATACTCTTCAGGTCTTATGACTATAGACCTGTCCACACAGAACACGCTACAGTCCTTCCCTAGGAATGCATCCACATGACTGTACTAAAGATTAGAAGAACAATTTCTGTAAACGCCGTCTTTGGAAGGAGAAGTGTCAGTAGGAACTCAGAGTACCCATTAAAGGAGCCATACAGTGTTCTTTGAAAAGTGTAAAGAAATTTTAAGAAATTAAATTCTGCAAGTGATTCAGGTTTGTTTGTTTGTTTGTTTGTTTTCCCTGAATGCTAATCCTGTTGGAACTGGTAGGGTAAGTTGGAAAAGGAATGGGGAGGATTAAATAGCAATAAAGGCATGCCTTAGTGGAACAGAACTAAGTTCTTTCCTGAAACAAAAGGAAAAAACCCTCCAAGAGGCAAAACCCCTCTGAGTCTGATTAGTGTCTGACGTCCTCACTGTTGAACAGAGGCTAAGGCATGGTGATCCATAGTTAACCTATTTCATGATGTACTCCTATACAAACCCTTCCAATTTATAACTAAGGTTTTGTCACAAGCATGTTGCAAATGCTTTTTTGGTTCTGGCTTCACTTTCCACCCATTCTTTGGACTAAGCCTGGGATCTGAGATAGTCCCAATGAGAGAAGCCACTCATATTCTCTCTGGTGTCCCCGGATTCCTAAACTTTATAGCTCATGTGCAGTTGAGTTCATAGTAACACCCCAGGATGACAGCTAGCGGGGGAAGATGTATCAGGAAGTGGTGATCCAGACTAAATTTTTGTGGGTTTGCTAGGCTAAGTTACACAAAGACAAAATTAAACGTTTCTTGGCTGAACTATGTAATATTCTCTATAAATTCTAAGAAAAAAAAATGTTCTGGAAATGGATCAAGTTTTATTCTCTGTGTTACTGCCACAAGGATCATCATCAAGTACAAAGTAAAAAAGTACAGAATTTTTAGCTAAACTTCTTATTTAAAAATATTTCTGTCTCTTGCTCAGCAGGAGAATGTTGATACTGAAGCTTAAACTGATAGGTCTTGTTCTGAAATGTGGGATTATGGTAAAGTGAATCTTAACAAACATATTCTACTATTTTTTGCAAATGGTGCTCTTACTTTCAAACTTGCATACTTTTTGTTTCATTGGAGAAAGGAATACTAGATTAGTGATAAAGAGATAAAAGAGGTCTTTATTTAGTAAATAATAGCATATTGAATATATGCTATTTAACACATAGGTTCCCTAAACATATATATTTAACATATGATAAACTGACAACAGTTTATCAGTTGCTGGAATGTATTCGTTATCTTAAGACAGAAAGCAAAATAATTTGAATTATTAAATTGTTGAGTCTTCATTGTATGATTTAAATTTTATTTTCAAACTAAAAACAGTAGTGAAATATCACAGAGAAGGTAGTACCATTCAACATTTAGTAATCTGTAACCAAAGCACATTTGCTATTTCCATTTAAAAAATAAAATATTTACCTTAATATCTGGTGGTTTGTTTGAAAATGTTGTCTGTCAGTCAAAAGACGTGTAGAGAGGTCAAATAACAAGGATAAAGCCCATGAGTATGACAATCTATAGGTTCATCTTGTGGCATCTTTGGGCTTCGATTGTGGAACATCTATAATACAAATTAGTGCGTGTGGATCCCAGCATGGGCCTGAGCCTAGGCCCCCTAGGATTCACCCCTGAGTAGCGCCATCTCATCTGGGGTCCAGTGCCTAAGGCACCGGCAAGTTTCCTGTACAGACTTATCTTAAGAGAAAAGAAAGTAGCTCTGAGACAACCACTATTCTCAGGTAATGCAAATTCTTCTCTTACTCAAGCTTCCCAGGCTCCCGTTTAGGTGGGTGAAGGAAGCAATGTGTGCTCAGTCGAGCCCCACTCTCCGGGACCCTTTGGACTGTAGGATTTTTCAGGCAAGAATATTGGAGTGGTTTGCCATTTCCTGCTCCAGGGCATCTTCCCGACCCAGGGATCGAACCCATGTCTCCTGCAGCTCCTGAACTGCAGACAGATTCTTTACCACTGAGCCACAGGTCAAGGGGGCAAAGCAGGGCTGCAATGCCAGAGTTAAAAGATGATCTGCTCCTGTGGGGCCAGGCACGAGACAGCCCTGATAGACCTGGCAGCCCTGACCCGGCAGTCTTAGCAGTACTGGAGAGGCTGGCAGTGTTGAGAGGTGGTAAGTGGAGCTAATGAACTCGGAACCCTCCATTGCCACAGGGAGGAGACAGGGAAGAAGAAAAGCACGTGGCTTACAAACATAAAAATGTCCACCAGCAACTCCATAAACTAGGCGGGAGGAAAATGAAACAACAGCTAAAGCTTCAACAAGAGTGTGGGGGTAAAATGGGGAGAATGAAAACAGAAATCTTGTTTGTGTGGCTGGGGGAAACCTGGGTCAAACTACATTATATAGTATGCATGGAGCCAATTCACAAGAAGTAGGTGGATATTGCCAAAAGCCAGCACACCAAGGGCCTGACTTCCCCTTCTCGCCATAAAGATGCAATGAAAGTTTTGTGTCGAATTATACTGAAAATGATGAATTACCACTGAAAGTTTTTCATCCTCATAAAGACCCTCCTAGGTCAACTTAATTCCTTGAACATTTTTTTTCACATAACATGATTTAATTTTCCTCCATTTTTTCATTTTATTTTTAGTTTTACTGAAGTTGCTTTATTTACAATTTTTTCCTAAGTAAAATACTTATTAATTTTTTTCCTTTATAAGTCCATGTTAAATTTTTACCAATTATAGTTTCTGCTACTGGAGATGTTCTTTATAATTTTAACTAACTTTGGTCTTCTCATGTAAAATTTTGTAGATCTGAAGGCTATCTGGTTCTCCTGGCTGTTTTAAAACACTTTTTACCACGTCCATTTTTTGTTTTATTACTTTGTGTCAGTTATTTCTATGGAAAATAATTATAAATTACAAATAAGACTGATTATTGGGATGCATTTCTCGAAGCAAAGGTCATTGATACCATAAAGTGGAGTAACCATATTCCTGGTGACACTTAAGTGATGGGAAAGTTTATCTTGCTTCTGAGGGACAGTTCAGACATGTGGTTAAGTTGCTAGTCCTCACTGTGTCTTAAGTTTGGGTTCACAGAAGTCCAGAGTTGTGTCATGAAGACAATACTAGGCAATGGAATGACTAACGAGCATATTGCAGTTGGAAGAGCTGCACTGGGAATCAGAAGATCTTGGGTTTGTGTTCTCTCTCTACCAGATATAAATTTACTGTCCTTGCTTCACTTCTTTGAATCAGTTGGTTTTGCTATCAAATGGTACCATCTGTCCTAGAGGCTAAAGGATTATTGTGAGATTTATATTGTAATAATATCCATAAGAGCATTTTATTAACAACAAAGTTTAAGCCCGACGTAAGGTAATAATAGTATTATTACTACTAATTGATCATACGTATAACAACACCTTTTTGGTCAAACCCAATGCCTTTAGACTTCGTATCAGCTTGAATTTTACCTTCTCAGAGTGATCTTACTGGATTAGCCTTATTCTAATGACATCACTTGACCTCCACGCCATCATAATGTTTATCACGATTTTTAATTACCTGTCTTTGACATGATTTGTCTGTCTTCCTAAAATGAAAGCTCCAGAAGGCTCGCCATCATATTCCTAACATCTAGGCCAGTACCTGGCTCACAGGAAGTACTCAATGCATATTTTTGAAAGATAATATGCATGCATAAAGAAAACTAGGAAGATATACTCAAATGAGCCCTGTTAGGAAAAACTGATTTAAATATCAAAACTGTTAAATTCACATGATTTTGCGTGAAGAGGCATCTGTCTGTGTGCACACATGGGACCATATGTCTATCACATATACAATATTTTTAGATAATTTTGGTTTTTAAATAGGCTTTTTGCTTCCTCCTCCTAGATAGCAACTATTAATAGAAGGCGTTTAGGTGAAATCAGAAGAAAACAGTTCCTACTACTATATAAACTGTCATTCAGCAGAGCCTGAAAGTCACAGATTTAGTGGGTTTTAGAGCTTTTCCCATGCCATCATTCTATAAAACGAGGAAGCTGAGGCCACAGAACACTGAAGTGAGTTGGCTAGTGTTCGACGGTTAAGTGGCAGGCCTCGATTACAGCCGTGGCTAAGGATAGCAGCGTTGCTAGATATCCGAACACACATAGTTTTCTGTAATTCTGATAAGTCTTACAGTTGTTGCAGGATTTACAATTATCTCTTTGTTGAATAGCTCAATGCTGCTTAAGTCGGTTACAACTTTTAATCAGACTGTTTTATTAAAGTTATTCTGCTGAGCTTATCTTTTCTTTTTTTTTTTGCTGAACAATAAGACGCCGGGATTCTTGGCCTCCGGAGGAGATGAATTCAATCCGGGGCCAGAGATGAGGCTGGACCGCTCAGAGCTTTTGTGTAATAAAGTTTTATTAAAGTATAAAGGAGATAGAGAAAGCTTCTGACATAGGCATCAGAAGGGGGCAAAAGAGTACCCCTGAGCTTATCTTTTCAATACTTAATATAAGCTGCCACTGGCAACTGCAACGCTTAGCAAGGCTACTATTTGTCTTCAGTTCCTCGCTATTACTTCCATTTGAGGTACCTTTGAGGACCTCACATAAAAAGAAAACTTACTTTTGAGAGAAACGACATTTTTTTGTTTTTAGATTTTTTAAAACTTAAAATGTGGTCATTTCCCCTCTTGAAATGGATGCTACACCAAGAATGAGAGATTTATTGATTCCTGATTGTCAACATCTGTCTTATAATGTTTAAGTTGTTAAAAATGCATATAACATAATCTTAAAACAACGAAATGTAATTTTCAGCCCATTGGCTTCATGAAGGAAATATGCTATGTTGATAGCATTTTAAGAATGGAGACCTCCTCTACATTTAATAGGCTTTCCTGAAGACTCTTGAGAGTCCCTTGGACTGCAAGGAGATCCAACCAGTTCATCCTAAAGGAGGTCAGTCCTGAGCGTTCATTGGAAGGACTGATGTTGAAGCTGAAACCAATACTTTGGCCACCTGATGTGAAGAACTGACTCACTGGAAAAGACCCTGATGCTGGGAAAGATTGAGGGCGGCAGGAGAAGCCAGCAACAGAGGATGAGATGGTTGGATGGCATCNGGCTGCTATGCGGATTGAGTTAAAGGAGATTCTGAGGTTGAATCTGGGTGCAACAGGGTATGCATGGGTTAGTCTCACAGTCGTGTCTGACTCTTTGCGACCCCATGGACTGCAGTCCACCAGGCTCCTCTGTCCATTGGGCTTCCCAGGCAAGAATACTGGAGTGGGCTGCCATTTCCTTCTCCAGGGGATCTTCCTGACCCAGAGATTGAACCTGGGTCTCCTGAATTGCAGGCAGATTCGTTACCACCTGAGGCACCAGGGGCGCTCCAGATGATGAGTAACTGACCATGTCATTTGCTGGGAGAATGCAGTGGTCCCATAAGCGCCTTGACAGCTGTCATTCTGGACTTGGTTCACTATCCTCTGTGTCCCTTTATGCTTTCATTTTGTAAACAAATCAGCTGAATACAGAGGCCCAGATAAAAGTGAATTAATTTATCCCAGGCCATGCAATGAAGTTGGAGCTGAGTCAGGACTAGAACCCTCTCCACCTGAGTGTTAATTTAGTGTTTTCACTACTGTATAGTCAGGGATTTCTGAAGTTGAAATTAATATGCTAGTAAAATTCAAGTAGATCTGATGAGATGCTGAGGTTCTAAAGAGACAAGAAACCTGGAGAATGTATTTTTTAGGATGCAGAATTTTAATGGTGTTAGAAATACAAAGTAATACATGTATTGAGGCTATAGAAAAAATTATCCCCATCATGTTTCTATGAATACCTTTTTTTATGTTAACGCAGGAAAAAAAAATAAGACAACCTTTAGGGTGTCCAATCCAAGGTTTCTCATTTTGCAGAGACAATACTAGGGTACTCTGGAATACCAACGGCACTTACAGAATGACTGATAAATTAAAAAAAAAATTACCTAGGTATACTTGTTGGGAAGCGAAATGGCTTATATAGCATTCCAAATACAGAGTCAATAGAGTAGACACAGTAAAAGTGAAGGTTGCTCAGTCGTTTCCGACTCTTTGCGACCACATGGACTATACAGTCCATGGAATTCTCCAGGCCAGAATACTGCAGTGGGTAGCCTTTCCCTTCTCCAGGGGATCTTCCCAACCCAGGGATTGAACCGGGGTCTCCTGCATTGCAGGCAGATTCTTTACCAGCTGAGCTACAGATTCCAAGGTAAGGAGAGTGAGACAGGTTGGGGCTACGTCCAGTGTGGTAGCAGGTAGATGCACGTGGCCTCTTTCCAGGGAACGTAATAAATGTCTGTGTGCAGGAGACAGGAGTGAAGGATAGCGTCTGGGGCAGAAAGTACCAGGTCAGAACGTTTACATGGACAGGTGAAATCACCGTGGATTAAGAGAGACAGAAAAGACAAGAAGAGGGTGACGTGCAGAAGAGAAAGCATTCCAGGAAACTCTAAATTCGCATTCTTAAAAGCCCTGGTGGAACTCACTTACTCAGCACTTCAGAGGCTGGGCAACTATGAGCCGCTCCCCCTCCAAGTGCTTGTAAACTCTGGGAGCTGGACCCTTTCTCAGCAAGTTGATTTTTTAAGTCAAGGGAAAGGTATTAAACTGGTTGCTTGAAATATTCCTTATTTATTGAGAACATTCTGGCAATGGGAAGAAGAGTTTGCACTTAACAGTAACAGGAAAACTAAAACAAGGTAAATGATTGCCATTACACATCTCTCCCCCAAGAAGAGCATCAGTCACTCAGTCGTGTCTGACTCTTTTCAACCCCGTGGACTGTAGCCTGCCAGGCTACTCTGCCCATGGGATTTGCCAGGCAAGAATACTGGAGTGGGTTGCCATTTCCTCCTCCAGGGGATCTTCTTGACCCAGAGACCGACCCTGCGTTTCCTGTGTCTCCTGAATTGCAGGAGGATTCTTTACTGCTGGGCCACCAGGGAAGCCCAGTGGGTTATAAAGGGTCATTTTTCAGTTCTATAAAAATTCTAATATAAGCATCTCATACAAGCATCAACATCACCATGCTTTTTTGAAGCATCAACATTCCCCTCCCTCCCCAAACCAGAGGTTTCCAAACCAGTAGGTATGTGGGAAACTGATTAAAGGTACAGATTTCTGGGCTCTATTTTCCAAAATTCAGGTTCAGAAGTTCTGAGTCGGCCTGGAGAACTTGCTTTTCAAACAAATGCTCTAGGAGATTCTCAGACAGGTGATCTGAGGGCCACACTTTGAGACACATTGCCCCAACGTAAGTTCTTTTTCATTTTAGTTGAACTCTTGGCCAATTGTATTTACCAGGCTTCCTAAGGTTAGTTCTGAAAAGCAAGTAGACTCTCACAGGAGTCAGCCAGAGATAAACGATCAAAGCACAGTGGGGAAACCTAACCTTGAAACACTTGCTCAGGTAGATTCTTAGAATGGAATCTAGATTATCTACCCAGATAAATCTTCTAGCCTCTCCACACCCAATGCATTACTCAATTCGGACAGAGGTCCTTTAAGGTTCATCCTTGGTCTTAAGAAGCCCACATCAATCCTTTCCAGATTTTTACCTCTTTTGGTGAGAGTATAGAAATGTAATCGTCATATATCATCCTGGCCTTCTCTTCAATTACTTTTTTGTTCTGCTCTTTCTTTAAGTCTTCACAGGCAAGCCAGAAAAGTAGGTTCTCTTCACTGTATTCCGTTCGCAGGAACTCCCTGAAGAGGTTTCTTCCTGCCGGGGCCTTCATCATCTTGTCAAAATTTTGAGACCAGGACAAGACTTCATCTGAAGTGGGATTTTGGCTGCAAAGACAGAAGGGGGCCATTATCAAAAGCAACTTCGGTGCAGGGATGAGAGGTAGATAGAAATGCTGCCATCTAGTGGTCATGTAGACTCCGTCCAGCNTTGGACTGCAAGGAGATCCAACCAGTCCATCCTAAAGGAAATCAGTCCTGAATATTCATTGGAAGGACTGATGCTGAAGCTGAAACTCCAATACTTTGGCCACCTGATGCGAAGAGCTGACTCATTAGACAAGACCCTGATGCTGGGAAAGGTTGAGGTCAGGAGAAGGGGACAATAGAGGATGAGATGGTTGGATGGCATTACCAATTCAATGGACATGAGTTTGAGCAAGCTCCAGGAGATGGTGATGGTCAGGCAGGCCTGGCATGCTACATGGGGTCCACAAAGAGTCACACATGACTGAGTGACTGAACAAAAGCAATGACAATTAAAAAGCATAGACCATTTACAATGACACCAGGGACTTTTTAGGTATCTGTATTCAGGTTTTTTAGCAACTATTTCCCTGCAGAACCTCATTTGCCTATACATCAAAAAAGTAAAGGAGAGAAGCAAGGAGAATTTTATGGCTAAATTGATCCTGATTTTGCTTTCCTGTGCATTGGTATGTTTAATAATTTTCCAACCTAAAATACATTTGGTCAAAAAAGTAGTCACATTTATTTTTTCCTTACCTCTTGGACCCAATATTTTAAGTTGGTTTGCTATTATTCCAAGATGTCTGAACTTCCTCATTTGTTTAAAAAAATTTTAAAAGACAGAAAAATCACTATGAAGCCTCAGCATTAAAACCTTCTCCTGAGCAGCAGAAAAAGAAAGCACCTATCATTATATAAATAATCTACTATAATCTACTTGCATTTTAATTCTATTCTGTAGATGCTGCATTTCAACTTCTCATTTTGGAGAAAATACTTGGTTAGAGTCTTCCAGTGGAAATGGGACCAAGGACCAGCCAGGTGCCTTTTCTGACTTAGGTAATTTCATATATCATTTTTGTTTTAGACTCTACACCTATAAAGAGAATGACTTAAAAAATTCTTAGAAAAGGGTTACAGATTTCTGGGCTCTATTTTCCAAAATTCAGGTTCAGAAGTTCTGAGTCGGCCTGGAGAACTTGCTTTTCAAACAAATGCTCTAGGAGATTCTCAGACAGGTGATCTGAGGGCCACACTTTGAGACACTTTGCCCCAACGTAAGTTCTTTTTCATTTTAGTTGAACTCTTGGCCAATTGTATTTACCAGGCTTCCTAAGGTTAGTTCTGAAAAGCAAGTAGACTCTCACAGGAGTCAGCCAGAGATAAACGATCAAAGCACAGTGGGGAAACCTAACCTTGAAACACTTGCTCAGGTAGATTCTTAGAATGGAATCTAGATTATCTACCCAGATAAATCTTCTAGCCTCTCCACACCCAATGCATTACTCAATTCGGACAGAGGTCCTTTAAGGTTCATCCTTGGTCTTAAGAAGCCCACATCAATCCTTTCCAGATTTTTACCTCTTTTGGTGAGAGTATAGAAATGTAATCGTCATATATCATCCTGGCCTTCTCTTCAATTACTTTTTTGTTCTGCTCTTTCTTTAAGTCTTCACAGGCAAGCCAGAAAAGTAGGTTCTCTTCACTGTATTCCGTTCGCAGGAACTCCCTGAAGAGGTTTCTTCCTGCCGGGGCCTTCATCATCTTGTCAAAATTTTGAGACCAGGACAAGACTTCATCTGAAGTGGGATTTTGGCTGCAAAGACAGAAGGGGGCCATTATCAAAAGCAACTTCGGTGCAGGGATGAGAGGTAGATAGAAATGCTGCCATCTAGTGGTCATGTAGACTCAGTCCAGCCTGACCTGGCAAACATCTGCCAGGACAGAGCTAGTTATTTCTGCGTCGTGACAAAAATTCTTGTAGGTATAAGCTATGTGTCTGGGAGCCAAGCATTCAAATAGCAAGGCGTGATACACACTTTGCACATGGTCATCATCAGTTCAGTTCAGTCGCTCAGTCGTGACTGACTGTGACCCCAAGGACTGCAGCACGCCTGGCTTCCCTGTCTGTCACCAACTCCCAGAGTTTGCTCAAACTCATGTCCATCGAGTCAGTGATGCCATCCAACCATCTCATCCTGTGTCATCCCCTTCTCCTCTTGCCTTCAATCTTTCCCAGCATCAGAATCTTTTCCAATGAGTCAGTTCNACACTTTATTTTGTCAAGGGAAAACCAGTTATTTAAAGAAAAGAAAAAAAATGTTCTAGGAAAACACTTTATGGAAGAATTTTATTGTCAACTATGTGAGCGTATTCAGGGTACAAAAGGAACAGCACCATTTTTAAATGACAGCTAAGCACACGCCAATGAAGGGAAAGAGAATTATCATTTAATAAAGCAAACCACAATCTCAAGAATGGGTGCTGTTACACCTTCTGACTTCATCCTTGCAAAATCTGAATTACTTAAAAGCTTTGCAACACCCTATGTGATTATATGCTTCAAAATTTGATAAATATCATTATATTACTCTTTGGAGTAATGCTATTTTGACTTGTGGTTAGTTCTAGTCTTGGTTTGATTTCAGCTGATTCTCCCCCCTTGATAGCTCTGCAGACCAGGCTTTCTGTGATTCTTCCCATCATTCCTCCACCCACTCAAGTTTGAGCGACAGCATTTGTATTTGACTTTTTCTTTGCCCTTTCATCTCTTCAAGTAAAGCTACAATAATCCTAGAGGAAAAGCTGGTTACTCTGAGGGTCTGAATAGGAGAGCATTGGGTGGGAGGCCTTTCTGTGTCTCTGGGACATAAATTTGGGAATTCTATAGGATTATAGGAACTAGGTTATTCATATTTTCTCCCAGAAATCTTGATTCCAGCTTGTGCTTCATCCAGCCCGACATTTCGCATGATGTACTCTGCAAATATGTTAAATAAGCAGGGTGACAATATATAGCCTTGATGTACTCCTTTCCCAATTGGAACCAGTCCATTGTGCTGTGTCCAGTTCTAACTGTTGCTTCCTGACCTACATACAGATTTCTCAGGAGGCAGGTAAGGTGGTCTGGTATTCCCATCTCTTAAAGAATTTTCCAGAATTTGTTGTGATCCATACAGTCAACTGAGTGACTGAACTGAACTGGTAGAAACTAGGATAATCCCAGGGGCTTTACTAACCCAGAACAAGAATAAGAATTCTCTGATTCAGGTAAATGAGCCAAGTAGCGCTGTGGCTCCAGGTGTAGACAACGTGATGGGGAGGTTATGGGCAAACAGGAAGAAGCAGGGTGGAGAGAATAACTCAGTGGCCTTGGAAAAGTCAAGCTACTGAATCAGCCAACTGATCCCCTCTGTCTAGAAGCCAAGAAGCTTCTCAGGAGCCTATCAGAGAGCAAAGGAAGTTGGGATGACACCTCGTTCAGTCGTTCAGTCATTATTTATTCAATATGGGGAAAGAGAAAACATTATTTTCTAGTGCTTATTATGTGCCAGGCACTGTCTTTTTACCTTTAATTTTACTCTCCCCATTTTATAGATGATCAACGAGAGGCACAGAGTTGTCTGTTAGTCGCTCTGTAGTCTCCGATTCTTTGTGACCCCATGGACTGTAGCCCGTCAGGCTCCTCTGTCCATGGAATTCTCCAGGCAAGAATACTGGAGTGGGTTGCCATTCCCTTTTCTAGGGGATCTTCCTGACTCAGGGAACGAAGCTGGGTCTCCTGAATTGCAGGCAAGCTCTTAGCCACCAGTGAAGTCCAGCTGGCCCAAAGGCAGGCACTAAATAGGCAGTATGATTGGAATTTGAACCCAATTCTCCTAAACAACCCTATAACTGTTATTGAGTGCCTGTATCTGTTATTATGAATCATGCTCTCTGATAGACACTACGGCAATAGACTATGTGAATGTAGAAAAGTGTCACTAAATATGGTTGTAGCTTAGTGCACAAAGGCTTCCAGTAATTAGCTGTTGTTCATCTGGAACATCTGGGAAAGGAAATTGAGACAATGTCTCATTAATTCATTCTCAGCTGCCAGGGTGAGGATGGGAGAAGGTAGCAAAGATTTGAAGGCAAAGGAGTCAATCTACAAATGAAAGTGAGACTAGATGGAAAATTGAGTCAGAGGGAACTTTCAATACCCTGAGATAAACAATAATGGAAAAGAATCTAAAAAAGAATGTCTATATACAAGCTTGCGTGGATGATCAGTCACTCAGTCGTGCCCAGCTCTTTGCAACCTCATAGACTATAGCCCGCCAAGCTCCTCTGTCCATGGAATTTTCCAGGCAAGAATACTGGAGTGGGTTGCCATTTCCTTCTCCAGGGAATCTTCCTGATCTAGGGATCGAATCCATGTCTCCTGCGTCTCTGTGTGTGTGTGTGTGTGTGTATGTGTATACATAAATCACTTTGCTCTATAGCAAAAATCAGCACAACATTGTGAATCAAATACAATTAAAAAATGTAATCCTCAAAAAAAGAAAGTGGATGATCTGGAGAAAAGAGAAACCTATAGGAATTAGCAAGGACAGTCAGAAAAAGGACACCTCAATGAAAACAGTCATAAATAAATTCAGTTCTTCTCTATCAACTTCTAGGGAAAGTGGCAGATTTTACTGGTGTAGAAAACCTCCTACAAAGGTAGTGTGGCCCAAGGAATTCTAGCCGATTGTCACTCAAACGTCCAGAAAACTGAGGCATGCCCTGCAGGGAGGCAGAAATTCTTGACAGCTCTCAGCCTTCAATGTAGGGGAGGCCGAGGAAGTCGTGAGGTGGGATTCAGAGAGCCCCCCAGTTGGTTGGGGGCTGCCTGTGGGGGCTGTGAACAGGCCTGCAGGTCAGGAATGTGTTGGAGGAGAGAGTCATTCACTTCTCCAAGTGTCTTTGAGGAACAGTGCCTCTCTGGAATTTGACATATTTCCAGTAATGATGGGAAAGTGGGTGGGGGAGGTAGGAATACACCATCGATAATATCACGTGGAATTTCCTGGGAGAAGCTAATGATGGGAA